CCCTCCAGTCTCCCCGGCCCCCAGCGCAGGCTCCGGGTGCAGGACCGCCCGGTTCCCACGCCGAGCCCCTAGAGGCTGGGCTGCTGGGCGCGGGTCCCTTCCCGGGAAAGGATTGGCTGAGCGGCTCACCTCTTGGCCCTGGTGACCAATGGGCTCGCGCTCCCGCGGCGTCCTCGCTCAGCCTCTGGCAGTGCTGACTGCTCCGGGCCGGATCGCGAAGCCGGGCGGGGCTGACGTTTCTTGCTGTTGCTGAAGTCTGGGCTGTCCCTGCAACGCTCCTTGGAGCCCCTCTGAGTCTTGCTTGGGCACGGAACGGATATCGGCCCTCACTCTTGCTTCCTTATGATTTTGAAATTCCTAGAACCCCACCCCAGCTGAGTGGCTGGACGGTGTCCACAGCGGCACACTCCTTTCCTCCGTCACCTCTGCTGCCTGTTGACAGATGTAAGAGATGGCTTTAATCACCGAGGGATGTCCTGGGCCTGTGGCTCCGCCAAGGTCTATTTGAAGGCTGAGCATAAAAACCTGTGATCGCCGCAGATTAAATGTTCTGTTGAGCCCTATTTGAGAAACCCTTCCTCCTTTGAAGTAAGTTGTACTGTGTATAAAGTACACACGGAATTACGGGTTACATGTAGGTAACACAGTTACAGTAGTGACGCAAATCAGCATGTCCACTGTTTCACATGTATTTTTGTGGCAAAAGCAGCAAGCAGCTAAAAATTTACGTTATTTATTTTTAATTGGGGATTGAACCTAGGGCCTTCACAGGGACGCATTTTTTTCTTCCTTCCTCCTCTCTCCTCTTGTTCCTCTTCTCTCCCTTTCCTCTCCTCCCTCTCCCTTCCTCTCCCCTCCTCTTCTCTCTTCTTTGCTCCCGCCCTTCCCTTGAAATTGGGTCCCGCTAAATGGCCAAGTTGCCCAAGCCTCTCAGAGTGCTGGGGTGACAGGTTTGTGCCACCGTGTCCGGCTGAAATCCTCTCTGTGCAGTTACATCAGGCTCAGCACAATTCGATTTCTTAGAGACCTCATGTTGTACATTAAATCTCTAAACTCCTACTTCCTACGTGGCCATTACTTGGTGTCCTCTGACCTATGTCTCCCATTTCCTCCTTCATTTCCCAGACCACCACTTTATTCTTTCTCTGTACGTTCGATTAAAAAAAAATTCTACACATATGTGAGATGCACTGTATTTGTTTTCTATGTCTGGCTTTTTTTTCAATTGATACAATATTTTCCAGGTTCTTTCCTACCATTGCAAAGGGCAGAATTTCCTTTTTAAAAGATTAATACTATTTGTATACACACATACATGTGCATATACACACAGACCTCAGACAAATCCACCTTTTGAACGGGATTATCAGTGAAATTTGATGTAAATGCTACTATATCTGCTAAATTACATTCCTTTTTTTATCTCCAGCCCCACTGCCCTTGGACTGAGCTGCCTCCAGAATTATCCCTGTCAACTAGACCACATGTAGTAGCTCCTGAAATTCTCCACAAGGCTTCCAATGTATTCACTCATAAACACCGACATAATATAAGTAAAGTGACTGTTTCATTCACTTTACTAGCATTGAATCTGAGTTTTGGTGAGAATTTGGAATTAGTACTTCTCATGTTAAGCCTTCCATGACTCTGATACAGCTAAAGCTTGAAAATTGCTGGTTTGGAAAAATAACTTCTTATAATGATAATACTTATATTTATGGAGGGTTTTCTCTGGGACAAGTATGATTGCACGCATTTTACAAATAGCATCTCATGTCTACCTCACAACACTACCAAGAAACCTAGACAGAAAATATTTACTTTGTTCCCATTTTACAGCTAAGGAATATGAAGGAAAGTGACTCACGCAGGGTAGGCAGTTTGCAAGGAGAGAAGTCTAACTTGGTTTAAACTCAGGCAATCTGGCTGTAGGGTCTGAATGTTTACCTACAAAACTGTGGCAGCCTCTCTTAGCTGCACAATGGTAACAAGCTATATCCAGTTGCTAAGCATTTGAGAGATACATACCTACATTAGTAAGTCATTACCAATGTAAAGTTATCCAACCACAGACTTAGAATTAGAGGTATGACATGAAAATGATCTTACTAAACTTGTGGAGGAAAGAAGATTCTTAAAATTAAAAATTCACATGAGATGTCAAAAGTTGGATGATTGCTTTGAAAACATGGTGTATTTGTGAGTTTTTGGCATCCACAAAGCTTCTTCTTAATCAACCTCTGGCCTTTGTATATTTTAGCCAATTTCTAACCATAGTCTTGACTTCCAAACCTCAACTCAGATAAGCCACAGAAAAATGACTGCAATATGATATGCTCCTTATTTTCCCTGGATGGTTGTCCAGCATCATTTTTTGCTAACAGTTTTAAGGAAAACTTTTGTTAGGAATATTTACTTATCCAAGAGTTTTTTTTAGAGGAACTCCTACAATTACAGAGGAATTTCTGCCAGAATTATTAGAAACCTAAACGTCATGTTGCCATCTCTTCTAGTTCAATTTGCCCTACTCAATAACATCAACAATTGCTTTTGCATTTAGAGCATTATGTATACTGAGGCCTTTTATGTTTTATTTAATTCTCAGAAGTATTTTGATGACATAGATGCCTAAATTATACCTTTTTTTTTTTGTTTTTGGAGGGGGTGAGATTGCTAAGGAGAAAGGATACTGAATAATTCCAAGCCAGAACACAATACTAAATTAATTTTAAAACTGTAAGGACTAAGATCTTAAATTCTACATTTTCCAGCCTCCCACTGCTTCTGTTTGCATTTATACTTTTATAAACATTGAAGAGTCAACAGTATATCATAGATTAGTAGTTTCAGCATTCTCTTTGCTAATCATACTTAAAATGCAATTTATTCCTCCAGATTCTTATTGCTTACAAATCATTTGCTCCTTTGAATATGACCTTATTTAATGTTTATAAGAAATGTGTGTGGGGCCGGGGATTTAGCTCAGTGGTTCGGCCTGCCTTGCAAGCGCAAGGACCTGAGTTCAATCCCCCGTACCCCCACAAAAAAAGAAATGTGTGGGTGTGAAAAACTATAATAGTACATAAGATCCTAATGATATAATGGACAATGTGAAATAGGAAGAAAAGGGCTAAAGGTGTAGGGAAAGTGGGAAGGGTAGGGGAAAGGTAATAAGGGAAAAGAAAAAAATTTGAGAAAATGGAAATAAAGTGTTTGTAAATGGGGAGAGAAGCGGGGGTGAAGGGAGGACTGGAACAGGGGGAAAAATGAGAACCAAGACCTGTCATGTAAAGGTACGAGATCCCAATGATGAATGTAACTGTACTGTATACCTAAAATGTGCCAATAAACTCAAAGAAAGAAGAAGAAATATGTGAATTTAAATGATAGTACCTGTTT